GATATTTATTAATTCTCAAACACACACAAACCTTCGCTCTTCCTCTTCGCCTCCTCCTGTGCCCTCTCCTTCATCATCATCATAATCTTCATTTAATGATTTAATGAAAAAAACTAAAGCTGAAAGAAAGGAGTCATATAACTTACCAAAAGCCACACAGCAAGTGATGGGTCTGGAATTCAGAGCCAGTTCTTTCTGAATCCAAAACTTATGTTATTTAAGCTACAAACCACTGAAGTAGAATAGTCTGGCCTTTGTGTGGAATGAGAAAAGCTTTTCAAAAGTACTAGGGAAAAACAGAGGGGGATCAAAGTAAACAGGATTTTTGAAAATTCTTTTTTTTTAATTGTTGTTCAGTTATAGTTGTCCCGCCTTTCTCCCCTTTGCTCATCCCTATGCCCCTCCCCTACTCCCACAGCCATTCCTGCCCCATTGTCTGTGCCCATGAATCCTGTATTCATGTTGCTGTGCTCGCCCCTTCCCCTTTTTTCTCCCATTATCTCCCTCCCACCTCCCCTCTGGTCACTGTCAGTTTGTTCTTTATTTCCATGCCTCTGGTTCTATTTTGCTCATTTGTTTTGTTGATTAGATTCCACTTATAGGTAATACTATATGGTATTTGTCTCTCACTGTCTGGCTTATTTCACTTAGCCTAATGCTCTCCAGTCCATCCATGCTGTTGCAAAGGGTAGGAGTTCCTTCTTTTTCTCTGCTGTGTAGTATTCCATTGTGTAAATGTACCAGTTTTTTGATCCACTCATTTACTGATGGGCACTTAGGCTGTTTCCAGCACTTGGCTATTATAAATAATGAGGCTATGAACATTGGCGTTCATATGTTCTTTTGAATTGGTGATTCAGGATTCTTAAGGTATAGTCTCAGCAGTGGGATTGCTGGATCTTTGGTTTTTTGAGGAAATTCCATACTGTTTTCCACAGTGGTTGCACCAGTCTGCATTCCTACCAACAGTGTGTTAGAGTTCCCTTTTCCCCACAACCTTGCCACCACTTGTTGCTTGTTGATTTATTAATGATGGCCATTCTTACTCGTGTGAAGTGTAGTCCTTGTGGTTTTAATTTGCATCTCTCTAATTGCTACTGATATTGAGCATTTTTTCATGTATCTATGGGCCCTGTGTATGTCCTCCTTGGAGACGTGTCTGTTCAAGTCCATTGCCCATTTTTTAATTGGATTGTTGGTCTTCCTGGTGTGGAGTTGTGTCAGTTCTTCATACGTTTTGAAGATCAAACCTTTGTTAGAGGTATCATTGGCAAATATGTTTTCCCATATGATTGGTTCCCTTTCCATTTTGTTGATTTTTTTAGTGACACAGTCCCATTTGTTTATCCTTTCCTTTATATCCCCTGCCCTAGGGGATATACCGATGAAAATACTGCTGTGTGTGATACCTGAAATTTTCCTGCTTATGTTTTCTTCTAGGACCTTTATGGTGTCATGATTTATATTTAAGTCTTCTACTCATTTTGAGTTTATTTTGATGTAACAGTGTAAGGTGGTTGTCTAGTTTCATTTTTTTGTATGTACTTTTCCAGATCTCCCAACACCATTTATTGAAGAGGCTATTTTTACTACATTTTATGTTCCTGCCCACTTTGTCAAGTATTAACTGACCATACTGACATGGGTTTATTTCTGGGCTCTCTATTCTGTTCCATTGATCTATGTGTCTGTTCTTATGCCAGTACCAGACTGTTCTGATTACAGTGGCCATGTAATATAGTTTGATATCAGGTATTGTGATCCCTCATATTTTGTTCTTCTTTCTCAAAATTGCTGAGCTATTTGGGGTCATTTATGATTCCATATACATTTTTGAAATATTTGTTCTAGATCTGTGAAATATATCATTGGTATTTTTATAGTGACTGCATTCATTCTATAGATTGCTTTGGGTATCATGGGCATTTTAATGATTTAATTCTTCTAATCCATGAACACAGAATATGCTTCCATTTATTTGTGTCTTCCTTAATTTCTCTTTTCAGTGTTGTGTGATTTTCTGAGTATAGGTCTCTTATCTCCTTGGTTAAGTTTATTCCTAAGTATTTTATTTTTCTTTTGCTATAGTAAATGGGATTTTTTCCTAATTTCTATTTCTGATATTTCATTGCTGGTGTTCAAAAATACCTTTAATTTCTGAATGTAGACTTTGTATCCCACTGTTTTGCCAAATTCACTTATTAGGCCGAGTAGTGTTTTGGTGGAGTATATAGGGTTTTCTATGTACATTATTATGTCATCTGCAAACAGTGACAGCTTTAGTTCCTCCTTTCCAATTTGGATCCTTTTATTTCTTTTTCTTGTCTGATTGCTGTGGCTAGAACTTCCAATACTATGTTGAGTAGAAGTGGTGAAAATGGAAACTCTTGTCTTGTTCCTGATCTTAGTGGGAAAGCTTTTAGTTTTTGCCTGTTGAGTATGATGTTGGCTGTATGTTTCTAATATATGGCATATATTATGTTGAGGTATGCTCCCCTTATTCCCATTTTGCTGAGTGTTTTTATCATAAATGGATGCTGTACTTTATTAAATGCTTTTTTGGCATCTATTAATATGGTCATGTGGTTTTTGTCTTTCATATTTTTTCTATGGTGTATCACATTTATTGATTTGTGTATATTGCACCATCCTTGCATCCCTGGGATGAAACCATTTGATCATGGTGTATAATCTTTTTAATGTATTGCTGGATCCAGTTTGTTGAAGATTTTAGCATCTATGTTCATCAGCAATATTGATCTGTAGTTTTCTCTCTTTGTGATGCCTTTACCTAGTTTTGGAATTAGGATAATACTGGTTTCATAAAAAGAGTTTGGTAGTGCTCTCTGTTTTGGGGCTTTTGGAATAGTTTCAGAAGAAGCTGGGTTAGCTCTTCTCTAAATGTTTGGTAAAATTCTCCTGTGAAGTCATCTAGCCCACGGCTTTTGTGTGCCTGGAGTTTTTTGATTACCGCTTCAATTTCACTAGTTAATATCAGCCTACTCAGGCTTTCTGCTTCTTTTTGACTCAGTTTTGGATGATTATGTTTCTAGAAATTTGTCCATTTTACCCAGGTTTTCAAATTTCTTGGCATATAGTTGTTCACAGTAATTTCTCATGATCCTTTTTGTATTTCTGTGGTATCGGTTGTAATTTCACTTCTTTCGTTTCTGATTTTATTTATTTGGGTCCTCTCGCTTTTTTTCCTTGATGAGTCTAGTTAAAGGCTTGTTGATTTTGTTCATCTTTTCAAGGAACCAGCTTTAACCAGGATTTTTTAAAAAAGGAAATTGTGTTAGTTAGGCAGGCAATAGAAAGCCTAAGTCCTTAGGTTGAAACAATAACATAACCCTTATCAGGAAACTTTAAAGTTTGAGGGAATCTCAGGTTCGAAGTCATGTAGAAATCTATTTATAGCACAGTTACAGATATTTACTCATATTCAAATTTAAGTAATCACTCCACAGGAAACTTACTTCTCTTAAAGCAACACATTCCATTATTTGTCAGCCTTAATTGGCCAATAGTTCTTTGGTAAACGTACTTTGTATTTCTTTAATAAAAAAACCAAAACAGGCCCTGGCCAGGTGGCTCCATTGATTGGAGTGTCCTCCCATACACCCAAAGGTTGCAGGTTTGATTCCCGGTCAGGACACATAAAGGAAGCAACCAATACACATATAAATAAGTGGAAAAACAAATCAATGTCTCTCTCTCTCTCTTTAAAATAAATAAACTTAAAAAAAGTTTAAAAAGAATCTATACATTTTCATTCATTCATTCTTCCACAAATACTTACTGATGCTTCCTTGTGCTAGTCACTTTCTAGGGGCTTGGGCTACAAAGATTCTGACCTTCTGGAGCCTACATTCTAGTCAGAAGAGATAACAAACATTAAACATCATAATAATAAAACATCAGACAAGTATACAGTATGTTAAAAGATAAGTACATACTACAGAAATGAAAAAAATAGCTGTAAAGTGGTAGGGAGTGCTGGGAATGGCCAGGCGGTCGAGGTAGTGTGGGTTATCTTTTTAAACAGTGCTCAGGGGAGCCCTTGTTTGAGAAGACAGCATTGAGAGAAGACTTAAAAAAAGTGAGAAAGCTATTTGTGCACATAACTTAATAGCAGCCTTCCAGGCAGAACAGCCACTGAAAAGGCCCAGGCATATTTGAGAAGCAGCAAGGAGATAGGGTGGCTAGAGTAGAGTGAATATGGTAGAAAACAGGGATGGATAAGTAGCAGGGGCCTTGCAGACCAGAGGCTGGACTTTGACTGTTATCCTGAGGACAATGGGGTCCATTGTAGAATTTTGAGAAGTATGATCCCACTTTAATTTTAAAAGGATTCCAAGTGTGTCTGGGCCGAGAATTGACTGTAGGGCAAGAGAGGGGGTTGGAGGTTATTGAAGTGGTCCTGGCAGATTTGATGGTGGCTCAGACCAGGCTGGTAGCGATTTGAGGATGGTTGTGTTTTGTTGTACAATACAAGAATACAAAATGTAAATAAAAAATACAAACAAATTTTCCTTTTAAAAGTACTTTTAGTCCTGGCTGTTGTGGCTCAGTGGATTGAGCGCCAAACTGTGAGGCAAAGGGTGCTGGTTCGATTCCCAGTCAGGGCACATGACTGGGTTGTGGGTCAGGTCCCCAGTAGGTGGCGCACAAGAGGCAACCACACATTGCTGTTTCTCTCCTCTTCCTCCCTCCCTTTCCCTCTCTCTAAAAAATAAATAAATAAAATCTTTTTTAAAAAAGTTCTTTTAAGAAAAAAAGCAGGGCCTTGGAAGTTTTGAGGTTTTTTTCCCTTCCCTGTTGCAAATTCACGTTGTGGTTTTGATTGGTGGTGAAAAGCACATCACCTGTGGGAGGTGCTGCAGGCAGGCTGGACTCTCTATTCGAAGGTGACCACGTTTAGACTGAGACGGGAAGTGGAGGATGAATAGGTCACAGTAGCCTGGGTTTTTTTTTAAGTTTAACTTTTCTTTTTTTGCTGTCTAGTCATCCTCATTGGTCTTCTGCTTCTCAGTGTCAACATCATTATCCTCATCATCTTCAGCTGCCCCTTTGCCTGTAACTGCCTCAGCCTCCTCATCTTCATCTCCACCCTCTTCCTTACCATCACCTTCCTCCTCCTCCCCTCCTTTTTCCTCTTCTTCATCTACGTCATTGTCAGTCCCCTGCTCCCCGTTTTCCTCATTGACATTGCCATTAGCAAGTGCATCTCTTCCATTCTGTGCCTCTTCCACAACTTCCTTCTTCTTTAAGTCCTAGCAAGAGGGGGACTTTCACACCTCTGCAGAGACAATTGATGTTGCCAAAATTTAAGATCTCTTGATTTCAGATTCAAACTACATTCTTTACAGTTCACTGACCAATATCATAGTTGCTTAACATCTGCCTCTGGTCCCTCTTCTTTGTTTTCTTGTCTGAGCATAGGCCAGGAAGAGACCTTTCTGTTTCTTTCCCCTACTTGTCTCTTCCCTTCCTTACTCCTTAAGGTTCCAGACACTGGGCCCAGGATCGCTGCCCTTCCCCTTTCTGTCTACCATAAACTCCAGGGGCTGCTTAGTTCTAGTTCTACACTGCAGGGACTTGCCCTCTTTTTCCCTTAAAAGTGCAATTGCCTTACTATGGCTTTTAGTTCTCCCTACCCTGTTAGGTCCCAAACTGCCTCTTCAACTTCATTTCCCACCCACCAGCCCACACTTCATCTGCCCCCTCCTTACTTCCTCTTTCCTTCATGAAATGAGGTTTACAAAGTATCAACCCTGTAATGCAGGGTCATACAGTCCATGCTAAGTGCAAAGGGAAGTCATTAAAGGATTTTAAAGAAGGGAGTAAGAAGATCTAATTTTGGCTTTTTTTTATTTTTTGTAAAATATACATAATATAAACTTTTGTTTTTTGTAAAATGTATATAATATATCCAGTCATGTATATGAAAAATAAAGACATTTATTGAAGAAAATACAAGATACAAGAAGCATTGAACATAGGACAATGATGTCAGTCCCCTTCAAAGTGGGCATCTTGGGACCTCACACAGTTCTCCCAGCCACCATCAGCTGCCCCATTTTATTTCCCTGAATCTCACCAATGGTCTGAAATCTCTTCCCTTTCAACAGTGATTATAGGTTGGGAAAAGCCAGAAGTCGCAGGGCTCCAAATCAGGGCTGTAAGGGGGCTGAGTCACCTGGGTGATTTGATGTTTTGCCAAAAAACTCTGCACAAGATGTGATGCACGAGTGGGTGCCTTGTTGTGATGAAACTGCCAGTCACCAGTTACCCATAGGGGCGGCCTCTGAATCATCCAAATCGTTTCCCGGGAGGAATTTTCGAGCCTAATGCAAAATTTGATGCAAGTTTATAGCTCTACTCACTCAGTCATTTTGAATGTGATGGCCACACAGCACACATGCTCACTCAATAGCGTCTACCACCCCCACTGACTAGTACAGTGAAGTCATCATTGTTCACATGTTCATTCCAGTCCACTCTCCTTGGCTGCCAGATTACATCAATGTCACGCAAGCCATTCTTGTTATATTAACAATGGCTGGACTTTTTCTGGACAGACCTCATAGGTATACTATTCAGTGGCATTAAGTACATTTATATTGTTGTGCAACCGTTACTACCGTCCGTATCCAGAACTTTTTCATCTTCTCAAACTGAAACTCTACATCCATTAAATAATAATAACTTCTCATTTACCCCTCTCCCATAGCCCCTGATAATGCCATTATACTTTCTGTCTCTATGAACTTGACTACTCTACCTCATATAAGTGGAATCATAGAGTACTTGTACTTTGGGAGCTGGTTTATTTCACTCAACATAGTATCTTTAAGGATTATCATGTTGTACTATATATGAGAATTTCCTTAATTTTTAAGGCTGAATAATATTCCATTGTACACATATACCACATTTTGTTTACCCATTCATTCATCAACGGACATTTATATTGTTTCCACCTTTGGCTATTATGATAAATGCTGTTATGAACATGGGTGTACAAAAAGCTGTTCCAGTCACTGCTTGTCATTCTTTTGAGTATATACCCAGAAGTGGAATTGCTGGGTTGTAAGCTTGTTCAATTTTTTTCATGGAATTAACATACTTTTTCCACACTGACGATCATTTCACATTCCCACCAGCCATTTACAAGAGTCTCAATTTCCCCACATCCTTGTCAATGCTTGTAATTTTCTGTTTTCTTTCCTTCTTTCCTTCCTTTCTCCAAACATGTAGTTAATTGTCTAATCCCCTAGACTTTCCAGTCATAGTTTTGTCCTAGCTTTACTTTATAGAATTGTAATTGAACCTAGGGCTTAATAACAAGAAAAGTCACATTTGCATGGTATCTCACAATTTTAAAGTATTCTTCACCATCTTATTTAATGCTACCATAGCCCTATGATTTGATATTATTATTCCTCATTTTTAGATGAGAAAACTCAATTTCCAGAGGCTGAATAACTTGGCCAACTGTTAGCCAGTAAGTACTGGAGCCAAAATCAAATCAAGTCTTTGACTCTAAGTATCTTATGTTTCTACTATACCAAGAATATGAGGCTATACTGTTTCTACATTCCATTTTCCAGGCTCCCAAGGGTCCTGGTGTTTATTCTTGATTTATTTTTTTAAACTTTTATGAATTATTCCAATATAAGACATATGTTTCTTTACCTTATTTTTAGTAAGAACTTAATAACTAAGAGTATGATGGGGTTCTGCTGTTTTAATTGAACAAATACAACCATCCCACAAATTTTATTGGCCTTCTTAAGTCCTGTCATAATGGTATACTTGACTTTTATATGAGCAAATCAAGCACTGAAAAATCCATTTATTCATCATGAATAAAGTAGCATAAGTTCAATTTGATTTAATTTTTGCAATTCTGTAAGAGTATAACTAATTGTGGTTTCTGTTACTCTCACTCTGACCCTATGGTAGATATGGAAGACCCCTAAACTGTGGACGTATTTATGTCAACTGGGGATCTTATTAAAATGTATGTTCTGACACAAAAGGCTTAGTGTAGAGCCTGAGATTATGTGGTTCTAACAAGCTACCAGGTGATATCCTGGCTGTTTGTCCTTGAACCATACTCTTAGTAGCAAGAACCTAAACACACCTTGAGAATATATTCAGTCTCTATCACATTACTCTTGTCCAAATGTGAGTCCTTTGAAGTGGAACCTATCACTCCAGCTCTTGTTATAAGTGACTTCTGGATTAGTCCTTTTGTTCTCACTGAAACTGGAGGCCTGTGCAGACCTTTACAATTGACTTGAGTGGCAAACTGTACTGTTCTTCCTAGACTACCCTTTCTGTGGATTAAGCCCCATCTCTGGGTCCTCCTCATTAGGTTCTATTTCCAACTAACTGATTATTAGCACTGTCATAGTGTGAAGGACTTACCCCTAAGTCCTTCTTGTATCTCCATTGTTGGCCTAGATGAAGACAGGTTTGTCCTTGCCTTCATTAACACTGACCTGAATGACTGGTTGCCCTCTGCAGCAAGGGTGTTTAAATCCCTGATACCACTTTTAGTTCTGATAAGAAGTAAGGTAGGGGCTTGTAAATTGAATTTGATGCAAACAAGACTGAAGATAAGACAGTTCTGGATTAAGATGGCAAACTGAACACACATCTAATTTCACTCCCTCTCAAATCACTACTGTAACTGCAGTACAGGTATTTCTAATTAAAAATTTTTAAGAGAAGGTATTGTTAAAAGAACAAAAATCTACCAGGACAGGAAGAAGACTAAAAAATAATCAGAGTTATTGATTTGGCAGAACTTACAAAGCTAGGTCCAAAAATGGCAGTAGGGACTTCTAGTCAAAATGACGGTGTAGGCAGACACAGCTTGCTTCTTGTCAGAAGCACATCAAAATTACAACTAAAATATAGAACAACCATCACTCAGAAACATCAAAAATCAAGTTGAATGGAAGTCTGACAACTATGGAATTAAAGAAACCACATCCATCCAGACTGGTAGGAGGGTTGCAGACGCAGGATGGGTTGGTCCCTCACCCACATGTGGTGGATAAAAATTTGGGAGGAATATTTCAGGAACAGGGAGTCCCAGAATCATACCAGGCCTCCCAGGGTTCTAGTGCTGGGAAAATAAGTCCCCACAACCTCTGGCTGCAAAATATAGCAGGGATTGAGTCAGTAAAAGAAACTTCTGGAGTCCCAAGCAATTTCTCTTGAAGAACCCACACACAGACTCACCTACTCAGACTCATTCCCTCTGAGCTCCAGCACCGGGGTAGTAGCTTGAAAGGCACAAGTGGCATATAGGGAGAAACTAAGTGCCCGGCATTAAAACAAGCAGAGGCCGTTGTCCCTTTTCTAAAGCCTCCCTACACAGGGCCGGCAAGCTGGTGCCATATCTGAGACTCTATAAACCTGTATATACTGTTTGACCTGACTTAGAGATCCCCAGAGACTCTGTCCCACACAACTTATGAACCCACCCAAGCTGCTTTTCCATACGAATGGCTGGCCTTGGCTCAAGCTGTACAACTTCGTAAATCCTCTCAAACAAGCAACAGCTGGCTTCAGTGAGCCCCAGGCCCAGCACTAGCAGCATCCAGCCTAGGTTCATAGCTTGGCTTTCCCTGAGAATCTCCAATCCCAGTACGAGTAGCAGATATATCAGACTGCTCTACAGTGCATGCAGGGTGGCTCCAGGCAGAACAGAGTCGGGGCTGACACTGGCCTGCACCACCTGGGAAATACAAGAGCCTGCATACCCAGTGGACAACTACAGACCATGATGGAGCACCATCACCCTGCCCCTGCACAGCCAATCCTCCACAGAGGGCAGAGGTTAGTGGTAAGTGGTCAAAGACAATCCTTGAAGTTTACTGGCCTGGGTAAATCACTCCCATTGATCTGCCAACAGCAACCAAAGCTCAACTACAAGAGGAGGGTGTACACAGCCAACATGAAGGGTACACCTCGAGTACCCAGGTTGGATGATCGCAGAGGCTGTGCCACTGGATCCTACAGGACACTATATTAGGCCACACTACCAAATAGAGAGTCATAGCAGCCCTACCTAATACACAGAAACAAACACAGGAAGGCTGCCAAAACTAGGAGACAAAGAAACATGGCTCAAGTTAAAGAACAGACCAGAACTCCAGAAAAAGAGCAAAACCAGAAGTGTCCCACCCATGGCCCACAGGCCATGTGTAGCCCAGGATGGCTATGAATGCAGCCCAACAGGAAATCATACATTTACTTAATATATTACTCAGTTTTATTACTTAGATATGTACATTTTCTATGTTAGTGACCACAAACTTGGGAACTGCCTGATGATTTTAATATTATTGAAAGGACCACTGCATAATTAGGGTTATTATGTGAGGACATTTTTGCTTATCTGTGGTGGCGGATATGATGAAAATTATGCGCAGATCTTTTTTTTTTTTTTTGGCTCATCAGTTTTTGTTAGTGTTTGTGTATTTAATGTGTGGCCCAAGGCAGCTCTTCTTCTTCCAGTGTGGTCCAGAGACGCCAAAGATTGGACAACCCTGAGCTAAACAAAAGGGAGATAAGCAATCTACCAGAAGCAGAGTTTACAACACTGGTTACAAGGATGCTCAAGCATCCTAGTGAGGACCTCAGCACCATTAAAAACATCCAGTCAGAAACAAAAAAATATACTAATTGAAATAAAGAACAATTTACATGGAAACAACAGTAGAGTGGATGAAGCCAAGAATCAAATCAATGATTTGGAACATAAGAAAGCAAGCTATCAATCAGAACAACAAGGAGAAAAAGAATAAATAAATAAATAAAAGGATGGTGTGACCAGCTTCTGGGACAGTTTCAAGCATTCCAACATTCATAGCAAATGGTTGCCAGAAGGAGAAGAGAAAGAGCCACAAGTTGGAAATCTATTTGAAAAAAAGAATGAAAGAAAACATCCCTAATTTGGCGAAGGAATTAGACATGCAAGTCCAGGAAGCAGAAATAGTCCCAAACAAGATGAATGCAAAGAGGCCTACTCCAAGACACTTCATAATTAAAATGCCAAAGATTAAAGATAAAGAGAGAATCTTAAAAGAAGCAAGAGAGAAGAAATTTGTTACCTACAGTGGAGTTCCCATAAGATTGTCAGTGGATTTCTCAAAAGAAACTTTGCAGACTAGATGGGATTGGCAAGAAATATTTAAAGTCGTGAAAAGCAGGGACATACAGCCAAAATTTCTCTACCCAGCAAAGCTATGATTTAGAATCAGAGGGCAGATGAAGAGCTTCCCAGACAAGAAAAAACTAAAGGAGTTCATCATCACCAAACCATTATTATATGAAATGTTAAAGGGCCTTATTTAAAAAAAGATCAAAACTATGACAATAAAATGGCAATAAATACATATCTGTCAACAGTTGATCTAAAAAAACAAACTTAGAAAAGATACAGAATCATGAATATGATGGCTGCCAGATGACAGGTGAGTGTGGAAATGGATGAAGAGGTGAGGGGATTAAGAACAAATGGGTAGTACTTCTGGCCAAGATGGAGGCATAGGTAGATACACTTTGCTTTCTCGCACAACTAAAATAAGGACAACAACATATTTTTTTAAAAAAACAAAACAACAATTACTGCCAGAAAATCGAACTGAAAGGAAGTCCGACAACCAAGGAGTTAGAGAAGAAACATTCAGCCAGACAAGTAGGAGAGGTGGAGACGGGCAGTTGGGGCAGAGAGGACTCACAGCAAGGCGGCAGCCGGAGGACTGGGCGGTCCCACATTTGTGCGGGGATAAACCAGTAGGAACAGCTAGGGAATGACACAGACTGTGCAACCTAGGGGTCCAGTGTGGGAAAAGAAAGCCTCAAAACCTCTGGCTGTAAAAATCTGTGGAGGACATGGCAGCAGGAGAAACTTCCAGCCTCACAGGAGAGTTTGTTGGAGAGGCCCAGGGGGTCCTAGAATGCACACAAACCCACCCACCTGGGAATCAGCACCAGAAGGCCCCATTTTGCTTGTGGGTAGCGCGGCGAAGTGACTGAAAGTGGGGCAAGAGCTGAGCAAGTGGCATAGTTTCCTCTCTGACCCCTCCCCAACACTCAGCATCACAACACAGTGACCTGGGTTGC